GTGAGGGGAAAAAAAAGGCGGGAAAGTGTGAGGGGGAAAAAAAAGGCAGGAAGTTCTGAGGGGAAAAAAAAACGGGAAAGTGTGAGGGGAAAAAAAAAAAAGGAAATTGTGAGGGGAAAAATAGCAGGAAATTGTGAGGGGAGAAAAATGTGAGGAGAGGAAAAATGCAGAAAGTGTGAGGAGAGGAAAAATGCAGAAAGTGTGAGGTGAGGGGAAATAAGGTGGGAAAGTGTGAGGGGAGAAAAAGGGAAGAAAATGTGAGGAGAGGAAGAAGATGGGAATTGTGAGGGAAGAAGAAGGCGGGAAAGTGTGAGGGGGGAAAAAGGGAGGAAAATGAGGGGAAAAAAGGCAGGAAAGTGTGAGGAGAGGAAAAATGCAGAAAGTGTGAGGGGAAAAAACGTGGGAAATGTGAGGGGAGAAAAAGGCAGGAAAATATGTAGAGAGAAAAAGGGATTAAAATATGAGGCAAGGTGTGGAGGGAAGTCATGAGGGGACACGCATTTCGAAGTGTTTCTGACTCCATTTCCAAAATTCTAACTACAATTTGAGGTGTTTTTAACCCACTTTGAAGTGGTCGTCAGCTGGCTTTGCCTCCTTTTAAACCCATTTCAGAGGTTTTTTAATCCAATTTTTTTTTACCCCCTCAATTTTAACGTTTTTGGTCATTTCTAGCAGCGATTAGCATGAAGAGGAAAAGGATTCTTCAATTTGTAATCCTGGTATCTGGAATTCAGGATTCTTCTCCACAATTTCTAATCCTCCTTTCAGCAATTTCATTTTCAGCTGTTTTTAATCCATTTTTGGTTGTTTCTGACCCAATCTTTGCCCTTTTTCAGGAATTTCATTCTTGGCCGTTTCTAACCCATTTTTGGCTGTTTCTAACCCAATGCTTACCCTTTTTAATTAATTTAATTTCCAGCTGTTTTCCACCCATTTTTGGCTGTTTCTAACCCAATGCTTACCCTTTTTAATTAATTTAATTTTCAGCTGTTTCCCACCCATTTTTGGCTGTTTCTGACCCAATCTTTACCCTTTTTCCAGGAATTTCATTTTCATCTCTTTCTAACCCATTTTTGGCTGTTTCGGACCCGATCTTTGCCCTTTTATAATGAATTTAATTTTCAGCTGTTTCACACCCATTTTTGGCTGTTTCTGACCCGATCTTTACGCTTTTTCCAGGAATTTAATTTTCAGCTGTTTTTAAGCCATTTTCAGCTGTTTCTAACCCAATCTTTGCCCTTTTTCAGGAATTTCATTCTTGGCCGTTTCTAACCCATTTTTGACTGTTTCTAACCCAATGCTTACCCTTTTTAATTAATTTAATTTCCAGCTGTTTCCCACCCATTTTTGGCTGTTTCTGACCCGATCTTTGCCCTTTTATAATGAATTTAATTTCCAGCTGTTTCCCACCCATTTTTGGCTGTTTCTGACCCGATCTTTGCTCTTTTCGCCCCGTTTTTCCACCCCCTCCAGCCGTGATTAAGATGGAGGGGGGCACCGAGCACGACCTGCGCATCCTGGAGCAGGAGGAGGAGGAGGAGCGGGCGGAAAAGGCCGAAGGCCAAAAGAAGGAGGAGCCGCGGCCGCCGGAGCCGCCCGGGAAGGGGTCGGCCGAGCGCCCCGAGGGCGCCGACGGCGCCAAGGTCGGGGTCCCCGCGGTTTTTGGGGTTTTTTTGGGTTTTTTAGTTTTTTTTTCAGGGGGTTTATTTCGTTTATTTTGGTTTTTTGGGATTTTTTGCGGGTTTTTTGGGTTT